GGGAGGCATGAAAGACCAGGGCCATCGAGATCAGAGACAGACGAGGCATAGTTTTGGCCCTTCCTTCTCTTCCCTAGAAACTTTCTGTTGCCATGAAGATGAGTAACCTCTGCCCAGGGCTGGGCCTGGCGAGCACCGGGATTCTGGAGCTGGGGCAGAGTCTGGTTTAGATGGCCTGAGTTATGGCACCCCAGGTTGGGGAGGGTGTTAGCTCTGACCTTCCCCCAGTGCAGAGCCCCACCCGCCCTGCCTTATCACCAAGGCCATCAGCGTTGTTGAGCAGGAGTGGGCACCGACTCACCCGCTCCCTGACAACGCAGTTGGAAGAAGTTCCTAGGGGACCCTTTTATTCCCTGGCACTGAAGCGCCCTGTCCTGCCTCCTCAGGCTGACCCGGAGCGTAGGGCGGGCTGCTCTCTGTCTGCACTTTGCTTCTGGTCAGGGCCATGGGGACTGGGTCTTGGATGCCTGTGTGCATCCCCCCCCCATCAGACGCTTGATGGGGCTCCGACTCCCTTCCAGCTGAGCCCTCGCTGGTGCTGCCCTGCCTGTCACCCAGCGCGGCAGAGCTCCCACCCAGCATGGGCTGCTCCCCGGGCTTCCCTCTGGAGCTGCCTTGAGAAGGGAGGCCCCTCCTGAGCAGCCACGTGGGAGGCCTTCAGCTGCATTTGGGCTCTGCTCCCTGCCCGCCCTCGCTGTCTGTGTAACCCACCCTCTGGAGCCAGGAATACCTGGCAGTGCCCATCACCTCACCCTTGACTGACGTTACTTTCTCTTATTTTGTCCTTTCAGAAAAGCCAGAGCTGGTATAATGTAAGTATCCCTGTTTCTCTTCTTGTTGGTACGTGTGGAGTGGGAGGGGGAGGCCGTGCTGGGGAACGGAGCAGCGTGGAGCGCAGCTGGGCGGCCTGTGATCTGCAGCAAAGAGAGGGTCATAGAAGGGGGGCCTCTTCCCTCACCAGCCCCTCTATCACCAGCCGCAGTGGAGGTCTTTGGTGGTAGCCTAGGTCTGCTGAGGAGGGAGGGTTTGTCAGGGGGACCAAGGAGAGCCGTTGTACCTTGTCCTTCCCAGCTGCCTGGGCAGGGCTCCTTAGACTGATTATAGGAGACCAGTCAAGAGACCAGACAATCTGGGAGTGAGATGGCCCTGGTCTAGAACTTAGGGCCGTGGTGTCTTTAACCAAGATGCTTAAGAGAAATGCAGCGAGAACACTTTCCCCTAGGAGTACAGAGAGACTGAGGCAGGTCATGGAATTTGACAACCGGTACCCACCCCCGAAAGGCATGCCTCAGAAGCCCCTCTAGGAGACATCACTGCTGGGACCTGGGGTGGTCATGGGTGGCTCAGCCAGCTGCCCTGCACCCAGAGACTGCTCTGGGGAGTAGGCACCCCCTCCGAAGGCCACGTCCACTTGGGCATGGAGACTGGGCTGCAGGGTTTTGAACCCTTTCCTCTGATGAGCAGCTGGCTGGTCTTGGCTGGCCCATTGGTCGGGTTGTGCCCACCCTCTAGGCTGCACTTGCAGGGCCTGGCAGCCCGCATCCTGCTTCAGGTCCTGTCCGTGCTTCTCTGAGGCTGCTATCCCCACGCTTGATCCTGACTAACCAGGTGGATGCTGCCCTTCCCTGTTCCCTCCCCAGGCTCCGCCTTGGCAGGTCACGTGGGCCTGGAGAAGGTGTGGGCCAAGAAGGTTGTGGATGACACTCTGGGAAGCGGCAGGCAGGGTCAGGATAGAGGAGAGACTTGGGTTTGACGTAGGGACTTGCGTCAGAATAACCTGGGCGTGGAGGAGGGAGATGTCTTCCCACACAGCTTAGTGAGTCCCCAAATCAAGCACATGCTGCTCAGCGGGCATGCCTGTCCCTGGGTGGGTTCCCTGTATTCATTAATCGCCCGGCTTAGCCCAACCGGCACAAACAGGGCAGAACGCTGGCTGTGCTGATGGGAGGGACTTTGACTGCTGAGGCCCCTGCAGGAGGAAGAAGCAGCTTGTCTCCTCAGTCCCTCCCTGCGCCTTGGACCACATGGCCCTCCCCCGGCCTCCTGGCCTCCCAGCTGCTTAGAGCCCATATCCTGGAGGCAGAGAGGCTCCTGAGGGGGGCAGTGGGCTTTCTAGGGGCTCAGTGAGACCTCAGCATCCTTCGCCTCAGGAAGCCTACCCTCTGAGCCATGTGGCAAATTAGGTCCCCCAAAGGGGAACTGGACACATGGCTGCAGACCCATCAAACAGTGGACATGTTCAAATCGGGACTGCAGGTCCTACACTGTCCTCTCTGATCTTCCTGCTTTTCAACCACGCTTTTCTGTGGCATCTCTTTTCCTTCCCTTGAGTCCTCCCTGCCTTTTCCGCTCTGAGGCCCCCCTTCCCTTTCCCACCTCTGTTTCACCTCTTTTCTCTGGTTTCCCATCTCCTCGCGGCTTTCCCCCTCTCAGATTCTTGCAGGCTTTACTCTATCCTGTCCTCCCAGCCTCACCCCTCGATGTCTCCTCCCTCGGCCCCACACTTGAATCCTGGCGCCTGAGCGCTCAGCAGAGCATGTGCCTTTTGGCTGGAAGGGCCGGCTGCCATCTGAGGGCCCAGAGGCCAAGGGCTTTGGAGACAGATGAGTGAGAGGCAGCAGAGGAGCGGGCGTGGCTGGAGGCATGCGGAGGCCGTCCGCCCTTACTGACTGCACATCTCCTTACAAAACCATCCCCAGAACGCTGGTCCGCAGGCTTCTCCTGCCTCTCCCCTCTGTTAATCCTTGGTCATGTCTTTTCACCCTCCACCCCTCACCCCGAATGAATTACAGACACATGGGTGACTCTCCATCCCTCGCAGATCATCCACTCACAGAGGCCAAGGGCACGGGGGACTGCTGAGCCATGTGTAGTGACTCTCTCCTGTCTCTCTTGGGCTCAGGCTGTCATACTGAAGGTCCTTCCAGGTTCTCAGTGGTGCCAGATGTCCTGGGACCCATCCATAATGTTTTCCTGCTGCTCCCCGATTTAGGGTCACCAGGCAGATGTGGCTCCTTGAGCCCGGTGCTGCCCTCTCCCCAGTTCTGCTGAACTTCCACTTGGATGGCCTGACTTGGGTTGGGGCAGGAAGCAGACCAGAAGGACAGGGAGGGCAGAGGTAGAAATGGCAGGAAATACTGGGAGAAAGAGGCAGAAGCTGAGAGGTGACAAGGGACTTCCAGCTGGCTTGGGCTACAGATGTCAGGAGCCAAAGAGTAATCAGCAGCTGCTGCAGTGGGTAGAGCCTGGAGAGACTGGCTTCAAATAACACCAGGCCCCTCCTGCCCCTCCTCCAGTAAAACCGGGCCCTCTTCCTAAGGTCAAGACCATGCTCTGGCTCTGGGCTTGTCCACTTCAGGGTGTCTGTTCCACACAACAAACATCACCCCCATTTATGCCCCTCGTTTGTGTGCTTGCCTGTGGGCTGTTCCCCTAGGTCGCCTGCCTGCCTTAACCAGGAAGCTCTGGCCTGGCTGTTTGCAGAGCCACCTGCATCACTGCCCCTGGGCCTAGGAGCCCCATCCGCCTAGTGCACTTGCCCTCGGGGCTGGACACCCTGCTTGTGCAGTGCATTGTGTATGTGTCTGTGCTCTGTGTGCAAACACTCTGCCAGGAAACTTTGGTTCAACCCGCTCCCCCTTGGTCTGCAGAACTGCCTCCCAGCTGTCTGTCCATGGTTTTTTAGGACCCTTGCCCTGCCCCTATGGCTTTGGCCTGGTCTTCTGTTTCCCTTAATCTGCTTGCTCCTCCTACCAGCCTGTGTTGCCCGAGCTACTGGACCCTGACCTCTGGGGAGGGACTGCAGGTCCCCTCAGAGCTGCTCACAGCCTTTATAATCTCGCCACTGCGGTGGTGCAGCGCTCCTGCCGCTTGGGCCCCACCATGCACTGAAGTCCTGCAGACAGGAGGGGGCCCTGCAGTTCCCGCCCCAGGGGCAGAAAGAAACTCCCTGGCCAGAGTCGGGACAGTGAGAGCCATGCAGCCTTGCTGACCATTGTGGGGACGTGTCAGGCCTGCTGGGTGGCCTGGGCATGCTGTGAGCAGAAGCTACTCAGCACCTCCCTGCTCACCCACAGCCCCTCCTCCATCTGTCTCGTCTGCAGTTTACTTTTACATACTTAGCCATGATGACGGAGCACCTCGGCCCAAAGAGTGGTCCCCACCAGGGGAAGTGGCTAGACCCCAGGACCATGTGGGGAGGCCCAGTCCTGGAAGCTACTTTTCTCCAGCCAAGGCTCCTCAGGGCAAGAGCGAGGTGTGAAGGGCGCACCATCTATAACTGCCCAAGTCCCTCTCGGGCCTCGTTACACCTACTCCCCCACTCAACCGTCCCAGGTTTATTCATCATGGCCCCCAGTTCGGGAGGTGTAGCCCTGTAGACAGGAGATGGAGGGATAGCAGGAACAGGGCTTTAGCTTTAGCAGGGGTCCAAGGGCAGAGCTGGAGGCTGGAGGGTGCAGGCTGTCCCTGCAGACGGCCCCTCTGTGCCCAGTGGGCTTGCATCTCGGGGAAGCAGCCGAAGAGGTCTCCCTGGTGCCTCAGGTGGGCAGAGGTACCACCCTCATCTCCCTCACCTCTCTCCTGGGGTCAGTCAGCTCCATAGCAACCGGCTGAAGGAGCATTTCTGAGGTCAGAGGACAGGCACCCAGACCCTGGCAGCTCCCTAGATGTAGGGCCCCATTGCCTAATGCCCCTGCTTAGGGACCAGAGCTGGCTTTCTGGTGGTGAGGAAGGGGTCGTGCCCATTCTGTGGCAAGGTCTGGCATGGCTGGCAGGTATCAGATTGAGAACAAAGCTTTGTAGGAATGAAATTTGCATGTTTGAGGGCCAGTGAAGTGAGAGCCCAGAAAGGGAGCTACCAGCCACAGTCTTGGCAGTTGCTGTTGTTTCCTGGGGACTGACTGCTCCCTCTGCCTTCGTTCATCGCCCCTGTTACCCACCCACAGCCATCCTTCCCTTTCCACAGGGTGTCCCATATCTGGAGGAGACCATTCCCACCCACTCCCTCTCCACCTTTCTGTATTACACCCACTCCACCATGTCTCTCCTTTCTTTTCTCAGTCACCCCCCTATCTCTCCCATCTCTCCCCAGTCTCCTTATCTCACATCTGGCCCCTCCCCACCTGGATTTGGTTGGGGATTGGGGCTTCCTTTGAGGGTCTTAATTAGTTTCCCCTAGACAAGGCCAGCACTCTACCAAGATCCACCTGTTTTTCTCCTGGGCTCTTCCCCGCCTTCCTCCCCCCTGCTGTGCCCAGGGAGGGGGTACCACTCTGTCCCAGCTCCCAGTGTTTGCCATAGAGTTAATGTTTAGCTCAGGGCCAGTGCCCTCTCAGGCTTGGAGCTGCTGCCACCCTGCTCCTCGGGTGGCTGTGTGAGGGGGTGTGGGAGACAAAGGCTGCCACACCCAAACTCATCTCTGGGCCTGAGCTTTCTGCTTGACCTGCACCAGCGTCACCCCAGTGTACCCATCAGTCAGCTCCCACAGCAGTATTCAGGTTTTCTAAGGAATCCCTGTGAGGATCAGCCCTGTGGGTCTGGTGTCACCCAAGACAGGCATGTTCACCCTGGAAAATGGATTGCCGAGTTGTGTAACATGGCTGAGAACAGGCTGGCAGGGGGTGCAGATGTACTCAGATGTGTGGTTGGAGAAATTTGGCAGGGACATGACACCGGGAACCCATGCGTATAGATTTCGGTCTGTGTGGGCGCGTGCATACACAATGCCCTGTGAACAGGAGCAGTTTACAGGTGAGTAAGTGATGCTTTGTTTGGTAAATGGTTTTGGAGTAGGTGACAGCTAAAGCACATC